CCACCAGCCACTCCTCGGAAGGAAGGTTGGGCAATCCTACTTCCGTAGTGATACTGCCTCAGAAACCCAAGGAGGGGTCGCTATGAGTCGGGGTCGACTCGACGGCACATAACAACAACAACAACATACCAAATGTTGGTGAGGATGTGAAGCAACTGGTACTCTGACAGACTGCTAGTAGCTATGTAAAATAGTACAACATCTTCGGGAAACAATTTGACAAACATAAACATAGCATACAACCCCATCATTTCACCTATGTATTTACTTAAGAGAAATGAATGACTTGTACACAATTGTTTCTAGTAGCTTTATTCATAATAGTCTAAAATTAGAAACACACAAATATGAACTGGTAAATAAAATGTGATATATCCATATAACAGAATACTAATTAGTAATAAAAAAAAAGGCATGAATCACTGATGTACACAAAATAGATGAATTTCCAAATAAGTATGCTGAAAAAAATGAAAAGAAGTATACATATTATATGATGCCCCACCTCCAAAAAAACAAACTCACTGCTGTCGAGTTGATTCCAAGTCACAGCGATTCAGTTTGGGTTTCCAAGGTATTAAATCTTTTCAGAAGTAGATTGTCCAGTCTTCCTTCGCAGAGTGGTTGGTGGATTTGAATCCCCAACCATCTGGTTAGCAGTCAAATGTCTTAGGCACTGTGCCACCAGAGCTCCTTTTTTATATGATTCCACTTATCCAAAATTCTAAAACATGCAAACTATAATCTGTAGTGACAAAACAGACCAATGGCTGCCTGAAGATGAGAGGAGTGGCCAGAGGGATTACAAAAGAACACAGGGAAACCTTTGGGGAAGTGGATATGTTCATGATCTTGACTGTACTGGTTTCATGTCAAAGTTTACCAAATTGTACACTTAATTAAAAAAAAAAATCATTTCTCCTTTTTACTCTCATTCTGAGTATATGGTGCTGTTTTCCAGAGATTAAATGACACATGATGCAGCTCTTTCCCAGTCCTTAGTTAAAGCTAATGGAATGTGTGCTCATCTTTTGTTTCATTTTCCAATATGGCAAATTATTTATAACCAGAGGTGTGCTAGTAGCACAGGACTCTGCTCATAAGAGCCAACTGTGTGCATCTGTTCCTCTCCTTGTGGAGAGATGTCTTGTAGATAACTTGAACTTGGCCATACTGGAAGTATTATACATGAAAATGGCAAACGCTACTACAAATAAGGATGACTTCTTGGATAGCTGTTAAACATTTAGCAATCCATCATTAACTGTAACCTACATAAACAAAAGCTCTTTGGAGTCCTTAATTTTTAACAGCACAACAGGATTCTGACACTAAAAAGTTTAAGAACTGCTAAAGTAGAGGATTGATAGTAAGGCTAAAACTGTGTCTTTATCTATGGAGCTAGAAAATGTTGCTAGGGAGAAAAGTAGAAAGAAAAAGGTAAGGCTGTCAGACACTCACCCCTAACCAGAAAATCTTTTGTGGGGATTCATACTTGGCTGCCTTCCCCAAATGCCACCACTGCCATTCTTCCATGGGTTCATTGTTGACACAGTTTCCCCTCAAGACCACGAAATACTGGGGTTGAATCATTAGTTCCTTCTTCAATCTGCAGAGTCCAAAGGGTTGCTAGGAAGGGTAGGGCTGCCACTTCTGCCGGCCAACACCAAGGACCCATCATCTTGGTTCCCATTGTTAACTCATGGCCAAAAAATGAAACTTTGTAAGTACTGCTTGGACAAGAGTAGCACCAGAACAAGGTTTCCAGATACTGGGTTCTAACTTCATCAAATAGGGTGAAAGATTCATGACATAAATATATCTATCTGTATTGGCTGAATCAACCACCACAATACCAAGATCTGGTACTTTTACCAACTGTTTTGAGGTAACTAGTTTGATAGTTTTAAGAGCTGCCCTCCTCCCTTCTGGCTCTTCAATGCCTGCCTGACACTTCATAAGTGATCCATATAATTTTAACTATTTAATATGTGCTGAAATTCTTATCAATATAGCCATGGTAGCACAGTGGCTAAGCACTCAGCTGCTAAAAGAAAGGTTGGGAGTTTGAACCCACCAGCCGAACTCCACGGGACATGTGGTAGGCTACTCCCACAAAGATTATATCCTTAGAAACACTATGGGGAAGCTATCCTCTTTCCTATAGGGTAGCTATGAGTTGCAATCAATTCAATGGCACTGGATTTTGGCTTTGATACTCCATCATCTCAACAGAAAGCTCCCAGGCAGGGAAAAGATAGAAATAAAAAGAGGGGAAGTCTTCATTAAAAAATTCTGTATGAGTTAATTATGTTGCGGAATCACATTCTCTTGTTTTATGACATGTTGGAAACCAAACTTCAGAGGTTTTTTGCCTCTACTGTGTAGAGGTCTGATCGCTTCTGGCTAAAAATGGGGATTTGCTGGCGTATTTCAGCCAGCTTCTTCAGATCTGCAAAGTCAGGAAAGTGCAAAATTAGATGCAAATCATCACTAACCAAGATTTCTTCCCCAAACAGTGTGAAAATCTCCAGAGTCTGGGCAAGTAACTCATAATACAGGCTTTGTCTAGAAGTATAGGTAGCCTAGCACTGGGGCTCAAGAGTCATTTCAACCCAAACCAAGAAAACTCAAGGTGAACTATAACCCTCTCCACTTGGCCAGAGGACTAGACTCTAGAATATTCTGGAGAATGAATGAGGAGGGACATGAAGGAGCCCCATCAAATGACAGGAACTCTGGAGCCATGGACACTGGCCTCAGTGCAATGGGGACACCAAAGACCTAAACCGTACTGGGGTGCTTCTTACCTATGTCTGAATACACAATTGTTTCTTCGGTGCCAGCTTTGGCTAGGACCTCACCCCTGAAAAAGATTCAGCAACGAGTGAGCAGCATCACTGGTGTTTATTGATATTCAAAATCTGTTTTTCCTCTCTATCTCACAGGGCAAAGGGGAAAGAATCAGACATTTAAAACTATAAGGTAGATGTATGTACCTGCTGTACCACTCTTAACTAGCTGGGACCCTGCTGCAAGTCATTTAGTATCTCCATTTCCCAATCTATCATGTGGAAAGAACAGCTCTTTGAGAATTTAGGGAGGAAATTATGAGTTCATCTTGTAAACCTGAAACTGCTAGGAGCCGTATGAGATGATAATAAGCATCCTGGACTAGAGCTGCTTATAACCGACAGGAAGCTGGATCCTATCCCCACTAGAGTACATCCCAGGGAAATCCCCTTATGAGGTTAGTGTGGACCTCCTTTCCACCTCCAGGGCTGCTACCCCACCCTGGGAATGATGAGGGTGGGCTGGACAGGGCTCAGATCTGCTGGGATCTCTGGCCTTTTGCCTTCAATCCCTGGATTCCTAAGTAAATTGGTTTCAGTTTAAGAATTGAGGAGGAGACATCAACCTGAGTGTTCTGGGTAGAAGGAGTAAAGAACAAAAACTGGGCACGAGCCCTACATTAGGAATACTCCATAAAACCAGAGAACGGCTGATCTGCAAGTTGATTCCCAGTGCTTAGTCATTTGGCCCAGAGTAGGGTTCAAATACGTATGTGGTGAAATGATATCTCTCCAAAGCATAAAACACACAAAGTAGTCTGATATAACGAGCCATCTGACATGGTAACTAGTGTACTTTACCAGTCATGAATAGATATTTCACACAAATGAGTTACAAACACCATCACCATCATTAATGACATTTAAAGTAATTCTTTTCTTTTTTTTTGTTTTTCCTGGCATTCAAAGACTAACTTATCATCAACCACAGGCACCCATTCCAACATCAGTGTAAGTCAGAGGGCTCCCAAAATGCTAAAGATGGACTTCTGAAAAGGAACAAATAAGGTAAATCTTATACAACTATAAGGAGCTCTGATGGCACTGTGATAAGCATTGGGCTGCGAACCAAAAGGTCCAGCCACTCCATGGGAGGCCTTGGAAACCCTATAGGGCAGGTCTACATTGTCCTATAGGGTCACTATGAATTGGAATCAATTTGATGGTAGGTTTTCTTTTTGGATACAACTACTGAGTGTTAGGGGAGCTCTGGTAGCATAGTGGCTAAGACACTTGCCTGCTAACCAGATGGCTAGCAGTTCAAACCCACCAGCCACTCCTTGGAAGGAAGGTTGGGCAATCCCACTTCCGTAGTGATACTGCCTCGGAAACCCAAGGAGGGGTCGCTATGAGTCGGGTTTGACTCAACGGCACATAACAACAACAACACTGAATGTTAGAAGCAGCCAGCTGGTCACTAACAGAATTCATCAGGCGAAATAACCAGGGTGGCTCAAAAGGCAGAGGCCAGGATGCCTATCACTAACATTTGGACAGAGAAAATTGGATTGAGTCTAAGAAAATTTTCAAGCCAACTTAATCCCTGCACTCTTCCAATACCCACTAAACCCTAATGTCCAGGGGGATCACTGAGATTCCTCACTAGTCATACCTTCTAGGGTCTTCCCCTTTCACATACAATAAAGTCAGATGAGAGAACCTTCAGGGACCCCAAAGTGGTATTTAACACTGTGTTATGGTACTGATACACTGTGTGTGCTGACACAATGTATGAGAAGTTTAAAAATTACTAGTTCCTGTCAAGCCAATTCTGCCTTGTGGTGACCCCATGGACATCAGAGTAGAACCGTGCCCCTTAGAGCTTCAACAACCAATTTTCCAGAGCCATATCGCCAGGCCTTTCTTCTGAGGTACCTCTGGGTGTACTTGAACCTCTAACCTTCTGGTTGCAGCCAAGCATGTGAACTGTTTGCACCCCCCTGGGACTCTCCCATCTATGTCAACTGTACAAATGCAGATCATAATACATGTATGTAATTGTATGTGAATCTGAGAAGACTCATATGGTTTCAGAATATTAAAGTGCCTTACCCTTTCAAGGGGGACAAGTTTTAGTTTCCCTTCATCAAACCCCTTCTGCTAATCATTATGTGGGGAGCAGAGTCCACACTCTGGAACTCATTCTTGCCCTAGGACCAGTCACTCAGCTTAAACATTAACCAAAAGCCGAGGGTTTGGGAAGCCTCTCTGACCAAAACCATCCGTCTGTCACTGCTGCCTTGTTTCCCCTATATGACACACATCAGACTGACAGTGAAAGCCGCTTACAAATTGAGAAGGGGCAGAGGCCAAGCACTCAATCAGGAGAGCAGGACAACTGTGTTGTCACATGGTTTTCAAATGGAAGAGTTAAGAGCCTTTCTCACAAAGAGAAGTAGAAAACTGCCAGGACATGTGGGGAGATGGGAGTCAGGGGATGGGGGGAGGGCTGGTCAGGGATCAGACAACCCACCTGGTCATATGCTGTCTCTCTCAAGTGCCTAGGGAACCTGGTCTCAATTAGCTACTCACCAGGGATTCACAACAGTGCTGTGTCCCCAGGCAACGTAGGAGGCTTTGTCATCCCGGGCAGGAGATGCTGTGGCCACATACACCTGGTTATCAACAGCCCTGTAGTCAACAGGCAGAAAAAAGGTAAATACACATTAGACATTTTTCAACCCCAAGTGTACAGGTCCTTCTTTTAGGGGGAAAAAAAAAAGTGCAGGATGGACTGGCTCAGATTTGGAGGGAAACCATCAAAGTCATAAAATCCTGTGCCTTCAAACAATATCTTCTGCATAAGCTAGTTGTTTTTGACCAGGGGCAATTTTGTCCAGCAAAGAACATTTGGCAGTATCTGGAGACCTTTTTGATTGTCACAACTAGGAGGCTGCTACTGGCATCTAGTGAGTAGAGGGCAGGGATGCTGATAAACACCCTACAATAAACAGGACAGCCCCTACAACAGAGAAGTACACAGCCCAAGATGTCAACAGTGCCACTATTCAGAAACCCTCAGACAAGCCAACCTGTAACAGAAGAGCCGTGCTTCTCTGGTTACGTGAAGTCAGGTGGACAGAGAGAACAGATTAGCCAGGCAGGGACAAAACACCTTGCAGGGCCACATGTCACCACCATGCCAATGAAGAAATCCCCTCAACTCAATGAAGAAACCCCCTCAACTCAAATTAGACCCGAACTGTAGGGAGCAGCCCAGGTAAACCAACCAACCTCACTGGGAGCACGCTAGGCCCAATTCACAGGTGCCTGCCAGGTCATCCCAGTATCTCTCAAACTTTTCTTGCTTTTGACAAAACTGCATTTATTAGTACTCATGGAATCACATTCCTCTCCCCATTGTCCACCCCATAGTCAGCCAACCACCTCTACTTTTCCCTCCAGAATAAATTGCCATAATCTCAAGAAGTCAGAATAGTGACCACTCTGGGAAAAGAGGAGGGAATTGACTGGGAGGGGGCAAAAGGGAGCATCCTGGGGAGAATGTAAATGTCCTGTCTGTTGATCTGAGGGGTAGGTGAAGACACACTTGAAAATTTACTAAGCTGTATAGTTAAAATTAATATACTTTTCTTTAAGTACATGATACTTCAATTTTTCTTTTTATAAAAAGCTATTTTAAATGAAGAAAACCATCATCTCTGACCACCATTTCATGGTCTGTGGAGGGTCTTAATTCTAGCGCTGCTATAACAGAAATGCCATAAGCAGGTGGCTTTAACAAATAGAAAGTTACGGTCTCACTGTTTAGGAGGCTAGAATTCCAAACTCAGAGGACTGGCTCTAGGAGAAGACTTTCTGTCAGTTCTGGGGAAGGGTGTTTGTCTTTCAACTTCTGTGAGCTCAGCGTCACTTGGAGATCTCCATGTGTCTTGGCATCCGTCTTCCCCTCAGTCTAAGACGTTCTTAGTGCAGCGACCCTGGGTCCAAAGGATGCACTTCACTCACAGCTCTTCTTTCTTGGTGATAGTCAGGATCCTCATTCTCTGCTTACTATTCCCTCCTTTCACCTCTTATAAAATAAAAGGTGATGCAGACCACACCCAGGAAAACTCCCCTCATGCAGGATCAGGGCTGTGACTTGAGAAAGAGCAGTGACTTAAGTAAGTATGATGCATCCCAACCTACTTCTGCCTCATGAATATAAAAAACATTATCCAGTTATCTTCAATCTTATCTAGTCCTGCCTCATTAACCACAGGCACAAGTTAGCATTTACAACACATCACAAAATGGAGGATAATCACACAATACTGAGAACCATGGCCTAGCCAAATTGACATATACTTTGGGGGCACACACTTCATCCATCACACAGAGAGATTTACACATACACATAGACACAGTCACACTCCTTTTCTTTTCCACATTACTTCCACTTCTGCTATCTGCTCTTCATCATCTCTCCATCTTAAGAGTGCTGAGGGAACAGCTATGGTGATATGATACCAAAGGTACTTGTTCCATGCCCTGGATTTACAGGTTTAGAAGAAAAAAAGCATATGATTTGTTGGCAAAACAGCCCTAAGGTTAGTAGAATGGTGTAAAGAATGGGGTAGGATAAACATCCTAATCTGAATAGCACACAGAGTTCTGGGTAGAGGCCACAAATTTTCCCCTAGGGCTGTCAGGCTAAAATAACCCCTTTCTGAGCTGAGCAAGTAAGCTCCATGGAATTCAATTTCTCCGTAAAAGTTGCTAGAAATGTCTCAGAGACACCAGTCCATATCTAATCATAGAAAATGAAACCATGGCCCACTCGATGCACTGAATGATCCTGGAAATGCAAAAACCACAGCCCCAAATCCATGAGGTTAGTGTTGTGGCTTCTGAGGAGAAGGTGCACTAGAGTAGAAGCAGCGGATTCATTCTTTCTAACTGCATTGGTGGGGGGGATGGCATCCTAAGTCAAGGGCAGCATTCCATATTGGGAAGGCTGGTACTTCCACCAAACCGGAGATTTCTCCTCAAAGAGAAGACACTGAAATATTGGAAGATATGGTTCCTTTCTTACCTCCCTCGCTGAAGCAACTCCCAGTGCGCTGGTCCAGTGGTCAAATTAAAAGCAGCAGGATATACCAACAGCTGGCAGCCTTGGAGAGAAAAAGACCAAACAACAGTGGATGCAAGTGAATACTCAAGCTCCGTTGTCTCTCCCTTTGTTCCTTACCCAGTTAAGAATAAACTCAAACTTTCCCAAGCATAAAAAGTGTTAGCCAAGTCAGACAGTGTCAGCAGCTTTAAGATATGGTACTTGAAATCTGTTAGACACACACATAAAACACATACAGACATCCAAGAAAAGTGGAATCAACTACAGAAGTCACAACACATGACTCTGCTTGAATCTTTGCTTTAAAAAAGTAGAGCGGAACTCTCATTAAAATCTCTCAGCACCATATGGTCAGCTCCGGGTGGAAAAGGACCATGGTTCTATTTTTGTTTTCACTTGAAATTAGGGACAAAGTAGGTGCTCTAATGCTTACGGATGAGACTCAGCAGAGACCCTCAGCCCCGGATCCCGTGTTCCTCTACCTCTTCTGACCAGGCAGTGACACTGTCTGTACCCATTTCTTTTTTTTAAGTGAGAGCTGAATCGGAAGTAGCCTCAACAGTCTAGCAGGATGCTAGTATTTGCTGTGTACCATATGAGGAGCTTTCTAAGTTCTTTCTCCTTAGTCCTCTAACATTCCTATGAAGAAACTAAGAGAACCACTGATTTACCCTAAGTTATTGTGCCAATTAAGGAGAAGAGTTGGAACCAGAACTCAGAGCTTCTGATTTGGCTAGTGCTCTGTCAGGACACCAAGTTACCTTTGCTTGTCTGGACCACATTTCTCTTGCTACCCAAGGTCTGGGGCTACTAAGCAGTGAAATCCATGAGCAAACAGACCAGTTCTTCATTTCTACTGGGCTCCAAGTCACTCTTTCCAATCAAAGAGCCAGAAGGGCTCCAAGGGTAGTGTAAACATGGCTCTTTAATACAGTGTGTTAAATCACAACTCCCCAAAACACTATCATCCATATGTAGCAAAATCAATGTGGGGGCAGAAGGGTTATATGTGAGGAGATTAAGAACCCTCCCCCAGCCTTTTTAACTAAGGGCTCTCTTCACCCCACACAGACCAGCCTAGAACCAAACTTGCATGCACCTTTGTAACACAACCGTGGTGCCTCCTCACCTCTCTGTGCATAGATTTGTGCAAGCTCTGCAAAGCGGATGTCATAGCAGATGCCCAGGCCCACTCTGCAGTAAGCTGTTTTTCAAACAGAAAAGACACAAATAAAAAGTTAAACTCCTGCAGCATGGTGTAGTAGGGTAAAGCCTCCATGACTTAATGATCACAAATACTTGATCACCATAAATTAACACAACACTCATGGTTGGTGATAATATGTAAGTTCACTCAAGCTTGATTTTACTCTATAAAGACATCATTTATGCCAGCAGAGTAGAGATAAGAACTTCATTCTAATCAAATGCTTATCTAAGCAGGAAGTGCTCAATCTTGGCCTAACAGATACACCTGGGAAGCTATCATATTAATAAAAGAAGGCTGTGACCAATGGCAGGGCAAAATCATGTCAAACCCTTATTCTCTATTCAGCCTGACCTTTCTAAATAGGTGGCCATTCTCTATTTTTCTCACTTCTGGTCTTTCAGTCAGGTTGTATAAAAAAACTGGGGAGAAACTTAAGAGAAAAAGAAAGGAATACATGATCCTCTTTTACTGGACTGCTAAAAGAAGCAAACTTATCTGGTACGTACGAGTATCAAATGTGGAGAAACTATCACCAGGACTCAGTGTTTTAGATTCTTGAAATGTAATTTTCCCAGGAACATCAATGTCAAACAGATGGATCTGCATCACAAATAATTGACTTGGTTACCTCTTTTCAAGTGGGGCACACAGCAGTAATAAGAGATATCTTCTTACTGGCAGACATGGGGGTGACGGTGACGCTCTAAGCCAACTGTACAAACAGCACCCCCAACTTCCCCACAATCCACCACACAATCTGGCTGATATAAAAATGAAATCTACTACAGGAAACTGGAAAAAGGATGCTGTAGGTTTTATAATGCCTCTTTTCTAGGTGATGTGCAAATCAATGTCCAGGATTATCATGGCAAGTATTGAATATGCTGCTTTTTCACTCAGTACAAATGCTATCAAGTGCTAGATGAAGACTTCTCAGGATCTAAAAAGTGTTCTGAGTTAATGTCACAAACTGACAAGTAGGCAGGAAGGTGGAGAGTGGGTGAGAACTAAAAACAGGTAAAAATGTACAAACTAGATCTAGCAATGTATAGAAAGAAAAATATATCACTTTCAAGTTGAATTTTTTCAAGGAAACCACATGTGGTTTAACATTATAAAATCCATGTAATTCACACTAGCAAAGTAAAGGAGAAAAACCTTATAAACATCTTAAGAGATGCAAAATGAGCATTTGGTAAACTTCTAAATCCATTCATGATTTTAAAAACACAAGACCAAAAAACTCTTGTAGGAAGTAAAGTTCCTTATCTGATAAAGAGTATCTGTGGGAAAAAAACAAACAAACAAAAAAAAAACATACAACAAACATCAAAATTAATGGTGAAATATTGAATAAACTTCCCTCTGAGATTGAGAACAAGACACGTACACCTGCCAGTCAACGTCTGTACTTCTAAAGAGAGCAATGAGGTACAAGAAAGGAAAAATAATGTAAAAGGACTGGAAAGAAAAAAAATTAAAACTGTTATTATTCTGAGGTCATATAATTATATACCTAGAAACTCTAAAATATTCTACCAAGTAATTACTAGAATTAATGAGTGAGTTTAGCAAGGTCATATTATACAAGGTTGTTATTTTTAAAATGAATTCTTCTACATACTAGCAAAGGAGCTCTGGTAGCACAGTGCCTAAAGTATCTGACTGCTAACTAGAAGGTTAGTGGTTCAAACACACCAGCCACTCCATGGAAGCAAGACTGGGCAATCTACTTCTGTAAAGATTTACCATCTCGGAAACCCAATGGGTAGCTATGAATCAGAATCAACTTGATGGCAGGGGATTTGGTTTTATATACTAACAAAATGAAAGAGCATCAAACTATACCATTTAGGAATAAATCAAACAAAAGATATATAAGACTACATTTAAAAAACTAAGAGAAATTAAATAAAGTCTAAATCAGTAGAGGGATAGATATCACACTCACAGACTGGAAAACAATACTGAAAAACTGCTTCAAAGAATAAAGAAAAAAGAATCCCAATGTGGATTCTTTATTCAGTAATGTCAGAGAAGCTCCTATCAGACTAAGTCTCTGAAAGAGAATTATTCCATAGATAATTCTACACAAAACAAAAAACACAACTACTTAAAAGCACTGGAGAGTGAACACAAGCAGGCAAAAACTGAATTTAACAGGTGGAAAAAGGGAATAGTTCTGGGTAAGCTTTCCTTTTGCTTATGGTTTTTAGTTTGAGGGCAGGTTCTAGTTGGTGCTATCAGTGGTGGAGAAAACTACTCACAATCTTATTAGCTTGTAGAACTAGTTTCATAGGAACTGAGAAATAAGGGAGGAAATCCTAAAAAGGAGAAAGTTAAAGAGGGAGGGCCCTAAATTCTAGATATAAAATCTGCCCAAATTTCTGGCTAACCACTGAATTAAATGAGTGGGGCAGACTCCAAGCCACCTAGGCAAGGTTAAGCAAATCAACAGAACAGTTAAAGCTGCCACTCATCTCACAAAGGAGATAGATTTTGGTGTTTTACTAAAATGAAGTATATTCACTGATAAAAAATTTTAAAAGTCAATACTTTTTGGAGAAGTATAATAGAATCTAGAATACCTATAACATAAATCTAATACACAATCCACAATTACTGGACATTATGGATGGATGTCCAGTAATAAAAAATTTAGTAACACATAAAAAACAGGGAAATTTGACTTCCCCAGAACTCCAAAGAAAAGGCAATCCATGAATACCTCACCATGACCTAGATGTGATAGTTACCATGCAAAGAATTTACAGCAGCTATTGAAATTAAGCTTAAAGGTGCTATTATTTTATTTATTTTTTTAAAAAAGCTCCTAATGAATTAACAAAAGTATTAATATACAAGTATTAGAGTCCCATAGGAGGAGGGAATGGGACAAAAAAAAATCTAAAAAAAAAAGTATCCAAAAAGTTCCCAAATGTGATTTGAAAGACTTAAGTTTACAGATCCAAGAAGCAGGAAAAATACAAAGAAAACCACACCTAGATATATCAGAGTAAAATACTGAGAACCAAAGCTACTGACAAAATCTTGAAAGCAGGCATAGAAAATCAACAAATTACATAAAGGTGAACAATGATACAAATTACCACTGACTTATTAGCAGGAAAACAAAAGAGGAGAGCTAGAAGCAATTAATTGCTGTTGAAATTGCTAGGGAAAAAACAAAACTATCAAACCAGAATTCTGTATCTAGGAAAAACTATCTTTCAAGAATGAAGGCAAAATAGAGATATACTCTTAAACAGAAACTAAAGAGAACTCATAGCTAGTTAATCCCCAGTATGTTGTTGTTATGTGCTGTTGAGTCGGACCCAACTCATAGCAACCCCTCCTTGGGCTTCTGAGACGGTTATCACTACGGAAGTAGATTGCCCCATCTTCCTTCTGAGGAGTGGCTAGTGGGTTTGAACTGCCAGCCTTCTGGTTAGCAGTCAAGTGCCTTAGGCACTAAGCTACCAGAGCTCCAATCCCCAGTATAAGAAGTGCAAAAGAGGTCTTTCTGTCTAAAGGGAAAGACCAGACAGAAACTAAGATCTTCAGGAAAAAAAAAAAAAACCACCAAAACCAATAAATATTTGAGTTAATATCACACTACATTTTTCTCTAAATTTCTTTAAATACATAAAAGCACTACCACAGAATCATTTCTGACTCACAGTGACCTACAGAATTTCCAAGGCAGTAAATCTTTACAGAAGTAGACTGCCTCATCTTCCTCCCACAGAGCAGCTGGTGGGTTTGAAGCACTGACATTTTGCAACTGTCTAAACCACTATACCACCAGAGCTCCTTACTGAGCCACAGAGCTCCTTATATATGGCTACTTAAATTAAAAATTGCTTTGTGGAATTTATAATGTATGTAAATGTAGTATGTATAACAACTATAGTATATAGAATGGGAGGAGGACAGAAAACAGACCTATACAATTGCAAGGTTCTTACATTTTACATGAAGTGGTACAATATTTGTTCTAAGTAGACTATAACAAGTCAAGAATGCATAGTATAATCCCTAGGGCAACAACTAAAAGAATAACACAATAAAGTACGAAAAAGCCAACAGATAAATTACAAAGGAATTCTAAAAAATATTCCATTAACCCAAAAGAATGAAGAAAAAGAGAAAAAAATAGTAAAATGTCTATAGAACCAAGTCCCACAATTATCATTAATTACATTAAATATAAATGGACTTACAACTCCAATGAAATGGCAGAGATTATCAAAATTAATAAATAACCAAGACCCAACTATATGTGTCTACAAGAGAACCATTTTAAATATAAAGACAAAAAGTGGTTGAAAATAAAAGATTAGAAAAAGATGTACCACGCAAATAGTAAGAGAAGCCTGGAGTGGCTACAGTAATATCAGATATAAAATAGATTTTGAGACAAAATGTATTACAAGAAATAAAAAGAAACATTTCCTAATGACATAAGGATCAAGTCATCAGGAAAACCTGACAAGCTTAAATGTATATACATTTAACACTGCAAAAATGCCAACTCTGACCTAATTGATCTATAAATGCTCAATGCAATCCTAATCAAAATTCCTGTAGGTTTTTCCTTCACAGAAGGAAAAGTTAAAATTTATACAAAAATACCAATAATCAAGAATAGTCTCTTCTCCTGGACAGAGAGGGAGGAAAAATATGCAACAAAATTTAAAAACAAAAAAATGACCACCAGAGTTACTGGTCCGATAGAGGCTGGTGGAATCCCTGAGACTATGGCCCAGGTTGTCCTTCGGGCCTGGAACTGGACTCACTTCTGTGGATTAGCTTTCAGACAAATAGTAGAAAGACCTACAAGGAGAATACCTACCCCAGAGAGACACATCCCCTAGATCAACCATCCATAAGACATCAGAGGGGCATCATTTGCACACAGGGAAAGCTAAACAACAGGAATGCATAAATAAGAAGGGCACAAGCAGGGATAGTCACAGGGAGGACATGGGAGGAGAGCTCTTTATGGTTGGGGATTGTAATTGGGCCATGAAACCAAATGTGCATGAACTACTGTGTGTAAAACTAATCTGCTTTGTAAATATGCACCCACATCACAATAAAAAATTGAAAAAAAAAAAAAAAAGTCCTCTCTTCCAATCAACCAAATATCTGCCATGTGTGTGCAGTATGATGAGAGGGACTAGGGGACTTCATAGCCAATTCTCTAGAGCAACAAGACTTGCCAAATTCCCCACTTACCTTTCTGTGTTTTACCAGTAAATTTCCTTCAGGCCCAAACACGACACTTGTGTTATATAATTTCCCAGCATCTGCTTCAGGAATGGAGCCTTTCATTGGGAGAAATACACAGGCACATTAAACACTTTGAATAAAACAATTTTTTTTATTAAGTTGATAAAGGTTTCACAAATTGTCACTTGAATCCAACAATAAAATTTACTGTCTTTCATGGGTTAATCATGTTTTTTTTTTCCCTTGAATATAATTTTTCAGAGATAAACTCCAGAGTATAGGCAAAATATAATTACACCTAATGCCAAAGATGGGTTTAAAAAATAACCAAATAGGTCCTGAAATTCAGCCTTGCTCTTGGGCAACACTTAATCTGTAACATCAGAGCAAAATGGAGGAATACCTTGTTGCTTAAATTAAGTATACCAGGTCCTACAAAAGAACTGTATCTCAAAAGCCCTCAAGATAGGGATGTTAGCCTAAGTCTCTCCATCACTGAATGTAGTTCCTGCAGTTCTATTTCTGTGCTTCTTGCTCTGCCTTCATTTCTCAACTTCTGGGTGGTACAAATAATTAATATGCTTAGCTACTAACTGAAACGTTGGAAGTTCAAGTCTACCCAGTGGCACCTTGGAAGAAAAGCCTGGTTATCTACTTCTGAAAAATCACTGAAAATCCTATGAAGCACAGTTCAACTCTGACACACATAGGGCCACCATGACTCAAAACTGACTTGACAGCAACTGGTTTTTTTTTTTTT